AAACTATATAGTTTATTTGTTGTTTTCTCCACCCTGTCACAAAACGGGATCGGTCAATTCTACCCATCTCGTAACCCCCCCCCCCAAAATCGAATAAACCTAAATTACCCTTTTTATCTTTCTAGAATGACTACAAACTGTAACATGAAACTACATTCCTTTATCCTAAGTAGCTCTAAGTTCGTAACAGTATACATCTATTTATAATTACATTTTATTGTTTTATTGCCTTTTGAACTGTGTCTAACTACTATCCGCGCCATTATAAGTTGTAAATCAATCGGGGAACATGTAGTTCACGTTACTCTGTCGAATTATGTTACCCACGAGCTGCTCGCGTGCCTTGTGAACCGTTTTAATTATATTATTGGTATTACTTATTTTACCTAATCTATCTTAAATAACTTAAAAAGATCCGTATTTTTAGATTTTAGTTACTTATATAATAATAAATAAAGAATAAATATGAGAACCAAGAAATAAAGTATTTACCCAATATTAAGCCTGATTTTTTATAGTAATGATACTAATGCACTTAATAATTTTTGTTTAATTAAATAATGCACCAAAGAATATAGGCTAATAACATGCAAAAAATAGACAAATTCCCTTACCTCTCAAAATTTTCCTGGTTTTCTAACTATGCAAAAAGAGTCATTAACTTTCTCATGGAAATGATGTTGGTACTCTGAGTGAAATTGACATTTAACCATTAAGAACATAACGTTATACAATATGCTATTTGATAAATTAAAACCTTAACTTCCTATTGGTTATGGGTAATATATAATGAAACCTGAGAGAGAACTGTCAATGAATTGTGATAAAGAGGATGTGACAGGTGGGTGTGGCAAGAGGAATCTGATTTTCTATTCCATAGCTCTGTACCAAAACAAAATTGAAGGCTATAAAAATTGTATAGAGTATAATTTACGTTTAATTTCGTACTTTTTTCGAGGGTTGGTGGATAAAATAGGGATGATGACACGCTAAGAGAAAATGTGTCATGTGGGTCACACTAGTGGAAATTCAGAATTTTTTTAAATATTGCCTTGTAGAGTTAAGAACTTAAAACTTGTATACTATTAAAATATTAATTATTAGCTAAGACTTTATGCTATTTTAATTGGTATAACGTAAAATAAAAGTAGTTTAATATAATATTGAATGTAAGACACTAAAACCTTGTGTCATGCACAGTAAAGAATACCTGGGCGATAGGGTTAAAGAAAATCTATTACTGCTATAAATAATAGTGATGACCTTTGCTATTACAATAGCCTTAGCATCGCTGAGAAAAGATCCAAAATATATTGTTACGACATCGAGGTCACGTGACTAGTATCACGCCACGTCATTCTCGAACATTCACGTCTTTTCCTTAAATCTCGTGATCCTTCTAGATATAGTGTAGTCTTGTATATATAAGACCGGCCACGAAGCGACGAGGAGGTAATGAGTAATTGAACTGCAGTCAGAGAATTTGAACTGAGTATTGTTGAAGTCGAGCACGTGAGACGTTCGTTGAGAATTATAGCGTTTGTTATAGCGCGACTGTTGAAATTAAATGTATCGCAAAGTTGTATTCAGAGAGAATAAACCAGTTTTATTTAAGAAAGGACTTGTGTCGCTAAAGTTTCGTCGGAACGAATTTACGGAAAATTAATTAACGAACGGAGACGTAACAATATTAATATTAGAGATCAATGACGACGACTACTGACATTTATGGCTGAAGACCTACATACTTCGTCTTGTATTCCAGAAGGACCATGTGGTATAGAAAACATTTCTAAATTTGAACATCATCTAAATGTTCCAATACATGTAATATCTTCAGAAAATTTCAACTGTGTAATATATAAAGGTTCTTCTTGTCCAGACAAAATTTATCTATAGCATTGTGATCACAATCTTGACATTATAACGTCAATGAAAGGTTTCCTCGGGGTAAGCTATTACTGTTCAGAATGTGACAAAGCATTTTAACATTTATATGTCACAAGAGGCACAAATCAAATAATGGTAAACAAACAGTATCTTCGTATGATATATTTTACCAGTGTAAAAACTATCTTGTCATTATTAACAGAAATAAATATAATCCAGAATTTCATTGATGTGGCAAATTTATATGTGTAGGATGTCTTAAACAATCATTTATGTTTTCTGCAGAACAAAGATGCCAAAGATTCGTCAGATAAATACTTATTTTTTTTTTATTTTGAGGCAGATCAGGAACTTGAATTCACGAGGTAAACTATTGCGTGGTCCGTGATTTTAATGGTAAGGAAAGAGTTTTAAAAGGTTATAATTCATGTGACGAATTTTGTCAATTCTTATTTTCGAAAGAACAGAAGAATTATACAGCTATAGCACATAATATGAAAGGTTCTGATGGGCACTTTATCTTGATTTATCTTATTCATCAAGGAATAAAACCCAACATTATCATAAACGGTAGAAAAATTATGGTTATGACTGTCAAAAGTCTCAGAATTCGAATAATTGACAGTTATATTTTTATACCTGTGTCTTTATTGTTCTTT